CAGAAATTGTAGATCTCGTCGTCCTCTACAAGAAAGGTCTGATGCAATTTTTCCGTATATCCAACGGTTTGGGAGTTATTGGCCAAAAACGAAAATTTGGAAGAAATTGAAGGGGTACCCCTTGGAAAAATCTCGGAAAAATCGAAAATTTTTTTTTGTTGTTTATTATTAGCAATGTTCTTCCGAAGTCTGATTTCTTTTTAAAAAATGTGTTTCTAAAGTGCATAAACTTTCGGGATTGACTGTACAGCCAATACATCCTTAATGCAAACGTCGTAGTCGTAACACGATTGGTAATTGATTTCCCCCGCGATTGGTAGAAATTCCACTCGCCGTAGTGCATTGTTAATTATTTTGCATTTACAAAAATTATCATCATAGGAAAAGGCTTTTCCTTTAAACACACTTATCTAAGAACATGTACACACTCATCAAATATGTGCGTAATGCAATGTAGATATCGATATCTCCTCTTCCTGTTACGCATACAGCTAAGGAATATAGGCATGCAACGTACCGCAATTTTCAACTCCTGTACGGAAAAAGACGGGAAGAAATAGCTCGACATACCTGCTATCGGGGTTGGCCTATATTTTATTAAAGCCGCAATCCTATTCCAGTCATAAATATGTGCACCAGGAAGGGTGAATCGACGAGAGCTGTGCTATGATTCCCCATAATCCGGCGTTCTCAGCGACGCGACGCTCGGTGCGGTTCGGTTACGCGATCTCTTTTTACCGCTCCTTATCCACGACACACTCGTAGATTGAAACGATGAATCGTGCACCGGTTACCTCCACGGCAAATGATCTACCTGCACCTTTCCTAGGAGCGCGTATTTTTAAAAGCTACGTTAAGACCTAGGCTTATATCTGCCTACCCGGCAGCAACCCCTTTCGGCTTATTTCGCGGGCCAATGAAAAAAAGGCCGGGAGATGGGCGAAAAAGGAACACCTAAGAAAGACCTGTATATATTGCTCGGGCCGGTTATTCCAGTAGCAAACATTGGTTCCGCTACGGGGTGTTTCGTTTCGTTGCCAGAGCAACGAGTTCACGAAAAGTGCTGCCAAATTATATCAAATACTGGACACGTTAAATCGGGCCTCCGTTATTGTTTGACCGTGCTTCGTGTACGAATGTGCGAAGCGAAAGGGAAGACGCGCGGTTGCATCTCGTCGGGCCTGTATTTCAAGTATTCGCAGGTTGCTCGAAAAATCGTACTTTTTACTACTTACAGACGATGGAAGCAGGTCTCGCAGACGGGATTTCAATACGAGTTTCTGTTACGTCGCTTTTATGCCCGCCTCGAGCTAGCAGATTTTTATGATTGCTCTTTAGCTTCGAGCATCGCTCTTTCCCCCTTTGTGGGAAATAAGCTTGAGAATTCCGACCCGGGAATGGGGAAATTTTTATAGAGTTTTTTTTTTGAAAACTGGAAGCAAGGAGTCGAAAAATATTTGTTACCGGTCGTTTCATGTGAAAGAAAATCATTTACATTACGAATTTAACAATGTTATTTCATAAGTTTTATATCTGTATGTTATCAAAATAATCACGAAAATTATTTCAATAATTAGGATTAATAAGTATAGATAGTATAGATAAATAGTTTATAAAAGGAAATATCAGCAGGACATCAAAATTTAAATGAATTAGAAATCGACGGATATAATCCTGAATTTCGATGAATCCTGGCTTCGAAATGGGCCAATACAGTAAATTACACGGTGAGGCAAAGGTAACGAAAGGTGTGACTGGTCGAACCCTAGAATACAAAACGCGTTTAATTCGAACCTTCAACTAGAGTCCTGCGTCACCTACATACACACGCGTATGCACGCACGCGTACCTACATATGTATTTCTACCGGTCCTGATTTCGTCCGGTCGAATAGACCTGTATAATTATTACGACTCGTACGTGTGTAGAACGGGTGGCCCCATCCCCACCAGTCGTGGAAGGTAGCCCCATCGGAAGGAAGCTGCTTTATTTTTTTGTTGTGCCGCCTCGAGAAGCGAGGGGCACCCCGTAAGCCTCACCTTTGAAACACCTGGCTATTACCGCTGGATGTTTTACATATATGTATGCGCGCACGTGTATGTGTGTACACGTGTGAGTGCCACCATGTGTAACTGGCCCCACCGGGACCGGCGGACTCATTTTCAGGGCCTCCTGGGTCCCTAGACGTGCACGTATCCTGATTGAGAGAAAGGAGATGTCCCGTTCTCTTTTTCTCTAACTCACTTGAATTTTTGCGGAAAATAATACTGGTTATGATAATACTGAATTTCAAATAGTAATTGTTCGTAGTAATAGAACAAACGTGTTGAAAAATGGGAAATGCTAGAATTGTTTCGTTCCATATAAGCCTGAGCAGTTCTGAGACCCACGTAATTCGCAAACTACGCATGATTTCATTCGTCAGAAAAGTAATTGCTTTGGAACTGCACTATCAAAATTGTTTACACTAAATCTGTTCATCGAGCTAGTTGAACCTGGCGTTCAACTACCATGTGACTCGAGGCCCCTTTATCTTAATCAAAATAATCACCTAATCGGTAGTCGTGCAAGCGTATTAAATATTGACTTTACTCGCGGCTAACTTGGATGACAGCACGGCAAGCAGATCCTCGTCGCCTCGGGTGACTCAGTAGAAGGTGAATTAATTGCACGAACTGACCTTTGTCACGTCGTCGTTAGTTCGCGATAAAGCCTAAGTATTTGCCATTTACCAACGTCCTGGCTTCGTCAATGGTTGTTTAAAGAGTTCGGTTCTGTCTTCTTTCGCGCTTCAAGTTTCAAACGAAAGCTGCAAGTTTCGTTTCTTACAAGTACTGTGAACGAAGAAGAGGCATCGCGTTGCTGAAGGAGCACTGGTTCCGTGACACCGGTCGTTTACTTCGAAAATGAAGGGTTTCTCCTTTGGCCAACAGCTTAAGCAGTGGGAAATTGGCGAGGTAACAATAGGCAACACCTGCGTTTTTGGCCCTGCCACAAGGTTGTTGAGCTATTGGTTAATTAGCAGCAATCATGTAGCTACTACGGATATGAATGGGTTGTTCAGTTATTCCGTGATTTACCGCTGGTGACACTGCATCGTTGCGGATTTTTTTTACCCATAATTTAACTGATTATGGTATCCTATTCATTGAATATATTTTCTAAAGGTATTCCTTACAACTTTTCTGCGATTTCTTTTTCAATTTCAGTCATATTGTCGGTTAGGCATAGACGTTTTGGGATGAGTAATTTTTATTGACCAAAGCTCGAAGGGTCGTCCTGAACTTGTTTGTCGGCTCTACTCCAAAATGTATCGGCAAGTTATCAGGTCGGGCTTATCTGCATGACGCGTTATGGATTTGTTATTCTACCTATCGCTTATCTGCATACCGTTGTGCCTGGTGCATTCTATGCGATGCGTCATTCCGTGACTCTGTTTACGTGTAGAAATCTTCAAATTTTCCAACGGTGAGTACGTTTATTGTACTTCGGTGCACACCGGCCATAAAAGATTATCTCTAGCTCTATTATGAAAGGTCTCATTTTAAATCTTTTACAATAATAGTATTGAATACAAACTTTTTTCTAACATTTTAGTCGTTTCTTTTTTAATTTTTGTATTGTGCAAAATCTGCAATATATTTCTCTGGATTGTAAATTCTTCCTATCGGCAGGCGCACGTGGGATATTTGCAGAAAACAATAGATGACTTCATTTCCGCAAATATTGACGTGGAACGTTTCTTTTCTTTTATTTCGTCGAAGAGTCTCACTGTTAACGTACTTCTATTTTGTTTATTCTGTCTTGTTTACGAGGTTATTAACAACTGGGATAATCAGGTCCCAAACAATGTACCTGGGCGTAACCCAACAGCAAAAACGCGGATCTCCAAAGTCCTTCGGAATCCCGCTGGCCTATTGTCCCACATTGCGTACCTGGTCCGTGAATCCTTTTGTCCTGCAAGCCTTCGTCCAACTGTTTCGAGAGCTCTTCGGACGTTTATTCTCATTTTTTATTTCATGTAGTTTTTTCAGAATAGACACTTAACGATCTTGCGACAAATAACTTACAAAAGTATTGAAACATCAGCGTGATATATTATTTTGTGATTCATAGATTTTAGACTATTTTATATAAAAGATAAAGGAATTATGTATTTGAATAGTTACTAAAAAAAATTACTTTGAATTCAAATTCGTCTCTTATCGTTTTACGTATGCAGCATCAATTTTAAGAACATCTTCTTTTACATTTCTAAAATTATTTCCGAGAATCACAAGAACCTGTAGAATGGAAGTGGATTCTGAAAGAATGAATCGTTTCATTGAAGTTTGACCATTACAGGGTGCGAGGGAAGCATCTGTGACGAATTTCTTCGCAGGGGTCCAACTTCCAACGAAAGATCCTCACAATATCTTTAAAGTGCAGTTCTGATCCTTTCTTTGAGAGGGTAATCCATTTACTGTGAAAATGGATAGCTTTCTGGTACAGGTGCAAATTTCTCAAAGTGCACGCCAAGTTCATTGAAACTCACTCAAGTACTGAATAAGGAAAACCCAACATTTCTACTTTCAAGCAAATTAATAAACACAATATTAGGTACCTTTGCATGTATTTCCATTTTTTTTTTACTTTTTAAATTATAATCCCAATTTTTAAACAGAAGAAGAGACAACTCGTGCCCACTGTCGAACGGAGACGCAAGTGTCTCTAGTCCTTTGGTCAGCGTCTCTCATTTATACTCGTGATATTGATTTTTTGCTCGTCTACTTAAGAGAACCACTGATCCTTAGAAACGACGGATATATTCGGTTGATCGTGAATGGAGGACTAGCTCGGCGAAGTTTTTCTTTTCTCTCCCGGCATGAATAGTCGCCGCGGCACGTAAGGCTCCTCCATTGTGCCGAAATCTCAAAGAATCACTGGCTCTCCTTAAGTCCGCTCGCTCGGTCAGGGACGCAAAGCCCAGTATATGTACTTGTTCTTTGTCTGTCCTCCCCAAACCGAAAGGAACCTGCTGCAGTAATTTTTTCGAAAGTACCGTCTTTACGTGGACACGTCACTAGCGGAGATCTCGTTTCGGCCGAATCTCTGATTCTATCGCATCAGGATGAGCTTGTTCACGGTATAAGCAACGTTCATGAACACTGATGAAGTTCCAAACGTAATTTTGTCACTCTTGATTTTCGTCTTATTTTGGATCATAGAATATGATCCTCGAATATTGTCCACTAGTAGGTTTACACCCCGTATAGTCGAAAAAGATATTAGAATAAGAAGATATCTGAGTTAAATAATCGATGGATTGAAAAAAATAAAACGTGCTGATTAATAAAGAAATCTAATCAATCTTTCCTTTCGCTTTCACACATGACTGGAATTTCTAATACGTTTCTGAATGAATAAATTCCAAGAACGCATAACAAACGTAAGTCTCCTAACGGTTACCCTACGATTCCACGAATTTCTATTCCGATCAAAGGAGGAGGCTTCACCTCTGAGATATCGATTTTCCGAGCATCCCCTTTGCACGCTCGAACCTGCTCGCGTTCGAGACGTTCACCTGCGTGCACGGCCGAGGAAAAATCGACGCTTGAAAGGATCCGGCCAGGGTGCGAATCCAACGGAACGCGAACGTATGTGGCATGGCGCGGGCAACATCTGTCCTGGGTCCAGGACAGATGATCCTGGGCCGGGCGCGTGGCAACTTTCCGTTTTCCAGAAACGCGTGGGGGTCCCCTCGGTAGCTAAACGATCTACCGACCGGACGTTTCATTGCGTTTAGTCTATTATTAGCGTCTTAAATAAAATGTTTCGCTATCCGTATGTCGATGGCAGAGCGTGCTGTCTGTTGTGTTGTTCTGGATCACCGCTAATTAAAGTGTTTGAGGTCTCTTTAGCGCATTCAATTTAAGAATAGGGGGTAGCTTAACACGTTAGCGACGTATCATCAATGATATAATAAATACTGTGAGTACTCTAGTAATTTCTTATCAAAATATCAAGTTAATACCGCGGTTTCTAACCTGGGGGGTGGGGAGGGCGGCTCCCAAGGAAGACGCGACCTATTACCAGGGGGCCGCCAAAACTTTTTAATAAAAAAGTAATGTTCATACCATTAGTTCTTATTTAAAACGTGTCTATATTATTATATCTATTAAAAGATACGGAGACGTGGAAAAAACAACTTTGTTTTGGAAGTAGTAGCACAAAGGTTGGAAACCGCTGCATTACGTATTACATCGAATACTTTCAGACACATATTTATTTAGTAAAACGAGAGAAAATATACGCACAGAAGCAAAGGAGAAGAGACTTGAGTCCTTTGGCAAAACAGTTGGAGATTCTATCACCACAAAATGGTGGTGACGATCGCGAACGCGAATTTCCCACGATTTTTCTCGCGCGCATAAATCTACCGGATTTTTTGCGAATACCGGCTCGCGCTTTTTAATAAAAGCATTCGACCAACGGCTCTCTTAATGAAATATCGTCTCCACATACCCACCTGTGCGCGATTACTAACACACGTTCTCAGTATCTTCCGATTTCTATCGCTTTCAGCAA